TAATATAACCCCATCTTGTCTTCTTGCATATAATACAATTTCTCCATCCTACATATCTGGTTCACTCTTTCTACCCAATCCTCTTCTCTCGGCACCTCTGAGCTATGCCAAGACCTAGGTATCAGACCCTTTGCCTCATTCAAGTAGTACCATATACCCGACTCCTTGTATTTATTCACTGATAACTCAGTACTATGTAGTAGACACAAACTCTGGGTTCAATCCTATCTTTATCCCAGATATTATCTCAATTAAATAAACCATTGTCTCCCAGAAACCTTGAATCTTTGGGCACTCCCACCATATATGATTTAACGTACCTATCTTTCCACACCCCGCCAACACTCCAGTGTATTCTCCCCACTCATCTTGTTTTCAACGTTCGGTGCAATGTGCCATCTTGTTAAACTCCTATAATTTACCTCCACCTCTCTCATGCTTACATTCTCGTGTGTTAGTCTATCTGGTGGGACATAAAGAAAGCATATATTTCTTTGTTTGTCTTCATCTATCTCTATTCCCATATCCCTTTCCCATTTTACTATGTACATTGGCTTCGTGTGTGTATCTAACTCAGTGAGAATCTTATAGATTTTTGCCATGCCCCCGTTTCCCATCTCCACGTGATTCCAACAACCTCTCAAACAGGTTCCAATCCTTTCTCGATCTCAAAGGCTTCGGAAGACTCCCGACAAAGTGTTTTAATTGGTGATATCTCCACTCATCTATCTTAATAAAAAGTTCCCTTTTATCCTTTTTCAAATCCTTAAATGTTCTCAATTCCTGCCCTTCCATAATATCCCTCAATTGAATATCTTCCTTTTTAAACCATTTTCCTGTGCTCTCCTCCCTACCTGGAGGGAAATACTCCGTGTTTCTCAGTGACATTAATTGTGAATTAAAATCCCATTTCATAAACTTGTGCAATTTATCCCAAACCTTTAAAACATTTAATGTATAAACACTCGTGGTATCTTTTATTCTTCTGTATTGCTGGTACCCAGATGATCTTACTCAAGTCGACTCCGCTTAATTCATTTTCAATCTTGACCCACCTTTTCCCCTCTGGGTTGTGTATCCAGTCATAAATTCTTGCTAAAACTACTGCTCTATAGTCCATGGTAGCAGTATTTGGTCTGTTTTGTTACTTAATTTTAACTATAAGGTTACATTAAAGGGAAGCCTTCATCCCCCCCCCCCTCCACACACAAACACACACACACAAATTATGGGTTGCATTACTGCACCAGCATTAGTGCGTTATCATGCATTAAGGTAACGCTGGTTTTGCAGAGCAATAAAGTGCAGCAGCATCTTTTTTTTGCTTTCAGGGTGTCTCTCTCTAATTGAAACTGTACATAACCATAAAGAGGGAGTTAATTCACTGATTAATTCAAAAGTGTGCAATCTAAGCTAAATATCCAGTTCTGTAAAAAAGTTTTTTTTCTCAGCACCTCCACCTACTGGCTCAAAATAGTAAATAGAATATATTAAAGTTCTGTATTTTATGTTTGTGTAGCAAAAAGAAACTTATTTTAGAACTAAATTAAATAAAAAAAATATTATATACAAACACACTAATTCCCTTCAATTGTCTTGTGCAAAAATTGTGCCCCACAGCAGATATGCTGTTTTGGAAGTCTAAAGTAAGCTAATAGATTGTCAAGCCTATACACTAATGCCCCCCCATACACATGATAAGGAAACAGTGTGAAAATGTTCACGGAACCACTTATCAAATGATTTTCTCGTCATAGATGAGCAGGATGCTTTAACAGATAACGATATTGTGAAAAACAGTGAAAAATGTTGTCGTTTGGCTTACGAACTACCAATTTTATATGCGGTGGTATGACGGTCATATGAAATCTATCAAGCGCTATCACGCATGAGCGGAAACAGAAAATGACCTGGATGTTTATGTCTAAGGAATCTTTGTAAACACAAACGAAAAATCCAAATGTTAAAAGTAGATTGGCCTAATGAGATAATGAAAACCAGAATTCTGCAGATTATATTTTATGTATCACTATTTATGTATATAGGTAATGTAATAAACTATATTATACTCATTGCTGTTAATTGTTGTGTATATCGCTCGTTCTGGCGGGAAGGGCGTGGCTACAATGTCACATGCGCACTGCATCACTTCCACTTGTATGGAGGATGTCAACACTACGTATTGCCAGACAAACAATTTTTTTTAGGTTGGCTAATGTGGGCCATGATTTCGACCAAAGAACGAACACCTCTCAGTCATCGGATGACTGATCGGTCGATTTTCTAATCGTGTATTCCCACCTTAAGGCTGGCCATACATTACACAATTTTCTTGTACAAGTTTCCTTAAGATTTACCAAAATCATATAATACGAGGTCAAACCTAAACACTTTCAACTTGTATCCAGTCACTACATAGTTGAAGGTAAATCTAAAGGAAATTGAATAAGAAAATTGTATAATCTGGTGACAAGACTAATAACCACAGTAACTCTTAGCAGCCTCATCTTTTTACTCATTTTAAAAGCTTACACTGGAATGTTTTAACTTGGTATTATATCTAGTTACTATAGTTAAGTAGCTAAGTAAACAGGGCTTCCTATTGAATGTAACTTGCCTACACAGTAGACATTATCAGCTCTATTTAGTCCAACACTTTAATTGCATGTCCTAATCTGCACCAGACTGACAAGCGGCAAACAGTTTTATACATTGCTTCCGTACTGTTGGAAGAAAATGTGCTTATTCATTGACTGTTTCTGCTCATTTCCAGTTGCAAAGTCTGTTTTTCTTAAATATATAGTAGAATAGCATGTTAAAACCATCTGTATCCGAAAAATAATATTTTATATACTTGTGTAACATTTAAAAGTTGTACATTTATGACATTGACTTTTATAGTGATTTTTTAAAATGTTTTTATAGTTTATGAAAATATTGGAATCAACATTTTGTTACTGGAGTATCTATAAATGATAGTATTTGTGCAATACACTCATAGAAAACGAATGAGCTCAAAATGACTCGCTGTGTGATAATCAGAATATCTGATAAGAAGCATGTATTACCTGTCTGCTATATGACCTGAATGTTGAGCTGTCACCCTTTATTGGGCCATGTATGGCCAGTCTTACTGATACCTACAACACTAACATTCTGCTTAAATGTAGACATTGGGGTTGATTTACTAAAATTGGAAAGTGCAAAACCTGGTGCAGCTGTGCATGGTAGCCAATCAGCTTCTAACTTCAGCTTTTTCAATTAGCTTTTGGTAATTAAACCTGGAAGCTGATTGGTTTCTATGCAGAGCTGCATCAGATTTTGCAATCTCCAGTTTTAGTAAATCAACCCCTGTTTGTGGTGGTCTCATAGAACATTAAAAGAGAAGTAGGGCTTTTTTTCCCCTTATTTATACTTACCTAGGTGGATGCAGCATTGGTCCCTGTCAGCTATAAAGGTGAGAACTCAGCGATCACATGACCACTGATCGCTGAGTTCTCCTCTCCCCATTGAGCAGAGAGCAGGACTGTCAGTCTCCGGCTCTCTGCTCTGCCCCACCAGCGCTCACTGGAGTGCTGGGCTGTGGAAGGGGAGGGAGCGGCTGGCTCAGGCTCTCAGTGCTTTGCTGAGAGGCCGAGCAAGGTGTCACTCCAGACTCTGGGGTGGATCCCTATTTTAAAGTCAAGATCTTTCCCCAGCCTGGACCGGCTGAGTGATGTCAGCCATCAGCAGACGAACTGCACTCCTGTGATCCACAGGAGAAGTATAGCCAAAAGAGCTTTGGCTGTACCTCTCCTTTAAAGAAAAAAGTAAGCTCTGATGGTCAGACACACCACTCTAAACAAATGTAATGATTTTTTTATAAACCATTGAAGATACTGATCTGAAGATAGAGCCTTTGTAAATGTAGAGTATTCATAATTTATAGCTCAGTTGACTATTATCAAAGCATTGAAATATTCATTATGATTAGTTGTTAAACTGCAATCTCTGCATCGCTATTTGCCTTATTGTATATGCGTCATAAAAAATGACAGCCAACATTTAGTATTTTAGAAATTAATAGACCAGACATGACAATTAGATTAAGATAATCTTCACTATTTCATTGTGAGGTCAAAAGAAAATACCGCAATTTCCACAAATTAAGGTCCCTAAAACATAGTAATACAATTCAAAGCACAAACTGTGAAGTGCTTTACATTTAGGAACCAATATGAATCTATTATATACATCTACAGCTTACTTGTTCCACCCAGCAAACAATCAATATATTTGTTTTATGGTCAGACTTGGACTGCACATACTGTATGGCAGCTGTGAGTTATTCCTATGAACAATAGGAAATTAACTCATCGGTCCCTGTGTTCCTTGCTCCTTGGCTGTTTTTCTTGAATAAGCTTATTATTTCACCAGTATAATATAAGATGCATATATCTACATGTTTTCATGTTCCACATAGATAAATTCAGTACCATGCATCATTAAATATAAAAATGACTATAAATTATTGCGGTATAAGGTTTTATATCGTAAATATTCCTCCAAGCATAGCACAGCAGTGTCATCTACCTTTGGGTCAAATTTGTTGGCAAAGAGGTGATGTTGTTTAATTAGCCAGCTGAGATCTCCAGCACCATAGACACATACTGCCCTTCTGTGAATTCCAGTACAAGGAGGGTAAGCAGCCCCTTTAGCTATGTCACCTTCTTCATAAGACCATTTAACCATTCTAGCCATTGCATTCATATCTGATTGTTCATACTTTCCATTGTATGGAGAGGAACCTGGAACACCGGGCATTCTGTTCAAAGTAGCCCAAAGATGTTCATCGGGACTGTAAGTGTCTTTGACCCAATCTATAAATGTTTGAATTTCCGGTTTTTCAAATATATACTTCACAAAATCTCTGGACACCACAATGTAAGCATTTCCTGTGAACATTGGGCTTGTAATTGGCGATGGCATTTTTTCAGTATCAGTTTTAGAAATGTAATCACCTACTTCATAGTGAAATTTCCAGCGTGTTTGTTTCGTTTGTGAAGGTCTTTCAGATTCCATTGTGTTTTTTTTTCCATTTAATGTTTTCAGAACACGCACAATTTCAGCATTCGTTTTTAGTGGGAAATCTGAGCCACAAGTGTTTAGAAGGTATTTCCATTGAATGTTACTTTTAAGTAGCTCCTCCATGCAGTTGAGATCAGCCTGGACTCTTGACCAAGAAGCATAGACCACTTTCTCCAATTTAGATGCCACAAAAACATTATCAAAGCATGAGGTGATAGCTTTCACTGCTTCCTTGAACTGTGCTGTAGACTTTTCATCCACGTGGATACAATAGATGTTCTGCGGAACATAAATTGCCCTCAATAGCCTCTCAAACGTCTCAATGTTCTCATGAATGACCATCGAATATGCAATTGGAAAATCCTCTTCTTCCTTGTGCATAGGAATAGTAATATATTTTCTAAATTGTTTGAATTTTTGGCAATCTGTTGTCAGGTTTAAATATATTTGTTCAGTCAAATAGGAACTCTTCTCCTTCAAAGCAGTATTAACTTCTAATGCCTTTTGTATAGCTTCAGAGTCTCCCTTCATAATCTTCGAACAATTTAGCTCACTGTGTTCCTGTGGTCTCAATCTTACAAGTTCATAAAGTTCATCTCTACAGAGCTGACTCTTGGCACTGTTTGTGTCGCTCTGAATGTCTTTCAAGGTGCATGGATTGTTGTATGTGTATTTAATGAAAAAGATAGATGAGAAAGCTAGTAGAATCAAGATGAGAAGCTTCTGAAGAGAAAAGCACCTGAGCCTCCTGAAGTTACACAGTGACATTCTTCCAGACGAGGATGAACCAGCTGTATGAAGAATGTAGTTGTGTTCCTTTTGACTCTTTCTGAAAGCTGGCTATAAATAAAGTGTGGTGAGCAATGAAAAACGCCCACTAGGATTTACATGCTTTAGGCATCAGATTACTGATTACAATTCCACCTAATTGTTGAGAAATAAGTAACAAGTTGCAAAGAAATTGGGCATGTATCTGATGGGCATGCTTTATCTTGTTACTTTCTTAATACATTGTGATCCCCACAGATAACTCTTAACCATTTAAAGTCTATATCTGATATCTGGCAAAAATAAGATTTTAGAAAACGACAGTAAATAATGCATACGGCTAGTAGATTAATTTAAAAGGATTTATTTCTGTATGCACTTTGTCATTTATTCCAGTATGCACTCACAATTACATGTTATACTTGGCATGTGCAGCTAGAAGAAAATGCAGTTACCTGTTGGTGGATTGGTAATAATTAAAAACAAAAGTGCGCTTGGATGATATCCACATTTTAAGAACCCATGGCAGAGGTAGGGTAGAGCTAAATATTTCAAAAATATTATGTTTATCAAGTTTCTATGCAGATTTTTACACACAGAGAATAAGTAATTTAGTAACTAATGTGTGCACCTGTTACTGCACACTGTTTTCATTCATGATGAATAGCTAAGTAAATATCATGTACCAAACTTGGGAACCCCCTAGTGTCAAATATTTATTAGAGTTCACATTAAGCCTTTCTGCTGATTTCTATAATACTGTATATCACAGAAAAGTTTTTAAACTCTACAGAAAAGGCTTGAGAAAATACTGGAAAAGCTGCAATACAGCAGAACAGTACATTTATATGTATCTTACCTGGCTATTTAGCCTGTTTGCTTGGGGTTCCTCACAAGGTCACTTCTAAAGAGAAGAGCCTGTAAATAAAGAATGAATATACTTACCATTCTGGCATCCTCACTGCTTTCCAGCCACTGCATATATGCCGCTCCTCCAGGTTTGTAGAGTACCTCTTTCTCTAAAGTGTGCTGTGGTTTTTCCCACTGGCTCATACATCACTACCAGATGTGGAAGTTTGCAGGAGCAACCTGCGTGTGTTGCAAGTGGAACAGGTATTTGACCCACAAAAAGGGGTTGAATCATTGCAGCAATGTATTTTCAGTAATTGGGATAATGAGGAAATAACACACACCTGGCCATGGAACAGCTGAGAAGCCAATTGTCTCAATGCTTTTGGTCCCTTAACAAGTGGGAGGCACATATGCAAACTGTTGTAATTCCTACACCGTTCACCTGATTTGGCTGTAAATACCCTCAAATTAAAGCTGACAGTCTACAGTTAAAGCACATCTTGTTTGTTTCATTTCAAATCCATTGAGGTGTTGTATAGAGCCAAAAATTAGAACTGTGTCAATGTCCCAATATTTATGGACCTGACTGTATATATACACTGCTCCAAAAAATTAAAGGAACACCTTGAAAACACATCAGATCTCAATGGAGAAAAATATCATGCTGGATATCTATACTGATATGGACTGGGTAATGTGTTGGGAAATTAAGGATGTCCCGTCGTTTGATGGCAATGAAAACTATCAACCTACAGAGGAATAATTTAAAAGACAAACTGAAAATCAAAGTGAAAAAATGATGCAGCAGGCTAGTCCATTTAGCTGAAATCTCATTGCAGCAACTCAAAATGGTACTTAGTAGTTTGTATGACCCCCACATGCTTGTATGCATGCCTGACAACATTGGGGCATGCTCCTAATGAGACAACTGATGGTATCCTGGGGTATTTCCTCCCAGATCTGGACATCACTGAGCTCCTGGACAGTCTGAGGTGCAACCTGGAGGCGTTTGGTTTGAACCAAAACATGATATCCCAGAGATGTTCTATTGAATTTAGGTCAAGCGAGTGTCCTGGCCATTCAATGGTGTTACTTCATTTATCCTCCAGTAACTGTCTGCCTACTCTCGCCACATGAGGCTGGGCATTGTTGTGTGCCAGGAGAAACCCAGGACCCACTGCACCAGCAATGGGTCCACGGATTTCATCCCAATACCTAATGACAGGCAGAGTGCCATTGTCTAGCCTGCAGATGTCTGTGCTTCCCTCCATGGATATGCCTCCCCAGATCATCACTGACCCACCACCAAAACAGTCATGCTAAATGATGTTACCGGCAGCATAACACTCTCCATGGCTTCTCCAGACCCTTTCACATATTTAACATGTGCTCAGGGTGAACCTACTCTCATCTGTGAAAAGCACAGGGCACCAGTGGTTGACCTGCCAATTCTGGTGTTCAATGGCAAATGCTAATCGAGCTCTATGGTGTTGGGCAGTGAGCACAGGGCCCACTAGAGGACATTGGACCTTCAGGCCTGCCTGTCTCCTGAAATCTTCTCCATGCTTTTGAGACTGTGCTGGGAGACACAGCAAACCTTCTGGCAATGGCACGTATTGATGTGCCATCCTGCAGGAGTTGGACTGCCTGTGCAACCTCTGTAGGCTCCAGGTATTGCCTCATGCTACCAGTAGTGGCACTGACCCTAGCCAAATGCAAAACTAGTGAAAAACAGTCAGAAAGGATGAGTAGGGAAAACAATGTCAGTGGCCTCCACCTGTAAAACCATTCCTGTTTTGGGGGATGTCTCACTGTTTGCCCATCTAGTACACCTGTTGTTAATTTCATTAACACCAAAGCAGCTGAAACTGATTAACAGCCTCCTCTGCTACTTAACTGACCAGATCCAAGGAGTTTAAGTGACTTGATGCTATACTCTGATTAAAAGGCGTGCCTTTAATGTTTTTGAGCAATATATACAGTGGGGCAAAAAAAGTATTTAGTCAGCCAACAATTGTGCAAGTTCTCCCACTTAAAAAGATGAGAGAGGCCTGTAATTGGCATCATAGGTAGACCTCAACTATGAGAGACAAAATGAGAAAAAAAATCCAGACAATCACATTGCCTGATTTGGAAAGAATTTATTTGCAAATTATGGTGGAAAATAAGTATTTGGTCACCTACAAACAAGCAAGATTTCTGGCTCTCACAGACCTATACCTTCTTCTTTAAGAGGCTCCTTTGTCCTGCACTCATTATCTGTATCAATGGCACCTGTTTGAACTTGTTATCAGTATAAAAGACACCTGTCCACAACCTCAAACAGTCACACTCCAAACTCCACTATGGTGAAGACCAAAGAGCTGTCGAAGGACACCAGAAACAAAATTGTAGACCTGCACCAGGCTGGGAAGACTGAATCTGCAATAGGCAAGCAGCTTGCTGGAGAGGCTGCCTAAGCACGGGCGGTGCTTATTGGGCCCGGAGGAGGGAGATGCCGGGACCTGGAGTCATGGATGGATTGCAGATGGGAGAGTGGCTGTTGGCTCTCCATGGTCCTGGGCGGTCTTAGTCATGCCCTCTGGGCGGGCTCCTCTGCTGTCTGGAGATCTGGCCCGTTGCATGGTGGAAGAAGGACCAGCGATGAGGTCACTTCAGTCGGAAGTAGTCATAAGTAATCGGCTTCCTCCGTGGATCCTGCTGACAGACTCTCCTCGGCTCCCCTCTGTGCCTGTCATTTCAGCTGGGAGGAGGTGAGTGAGTGGTAACCTGGTTAAGGTGGAGGGATTGGAAAGGAGATAGACTGACGGATATTCTCTGAAGACCAGTAAAGTGGTGATATTATTTTGCCTAGGAGGGTGGACTGTGCAGAGGTAAAAGGGGAGCAATCTACCATCTTAAATTGTGTATAAATAGGAGAAAATGATAAGGAAAAAAGAAGTGCCGGTGGTACAGGAGGCTGGCGGTATACAATTACAACGCACAATAAAAGATAAAAGTAAAGAAGTGGCAGAAAAATTAGAGCAATTTGCACATAATCCGCCCCAGAAAACTGGAAGTTTGCAACAATCTAGATTGTCATCTTCACCATTAACATCTTCTAAAGGCCCTAGCCTACATAGTGACTCCCCTAAATTGGCATCGGCGCCCTGCACCCCAATTACTGGCCCTCCTAGCTAGGACTCAAGATGTCACAGTACATACGGTGACCTCCGTTGGGGCCGGGACTGGAAGGGTCACTATGTGTCTGAATGAAATTATAGATGTATTTAAAAATTATCTTTCGAATATGTATAACTCTAAAATAGAGGAGGGGAATAGAGAGATGGAAAACTTTATTCAAGGTCTAGAGATCCCACCTCTTTCAAATGGGGTCAGAAATGTTTTGGAAGCACCCATCACTATAGAGGAACTACGAAATGCAGTTTTAACTTCCGCCAACCATAAAACTCCAGGACCGGATGGGTTACCAACTGAAATATATAAACAATATGGGGAACAAAAAAACCCTGAAACTTAAAAAAAAAATAAGGTTTTTTTTCGATTCTGTTATACAATTTTGCAAATAAATAACATTTCTTCATAAATTTAGGTCAAAATGTATTCTGCTACATTTTTTTGGTGAAAATACCCCAAATTAGTGTATATTATTTAGTCTGTAGGAAAGTTATAGAGTCCACAAACCATGGTATATATATCTGACAATCGATCAATCCTGATGTACTGACAGCCCATCTCATTTCTTGAAGCCCGAAAACGCCAGAATTGTACAAATATCCCCCAAATTACCATTTTGGGAAAATAGACAGTTCAAGGTATTTAGTAAGAGGCATGGGGAGTTTTTTGGAGGTTGTAATTTTTTGTTACAATTTTTTGGAAAATGTAGAAATCAATTTTTTTTTAACATATTG